TGTAAATATATATATTATACATATATATATATACATATATACATATATATATATATACATATACACATATATATATATATACATATATATATATATATATACATATATATATATATATATATATATATATATATATATATATATATATATATATATATATATATATATATATATATATATATATATATATATAAATGTGTATACATCGAACTAACATATGAATTGAGCATTATATATATATATATATATATATATATATATATATATATATATATATATATATATATATATATATATATATATATATATATATACATACATATATACAGATATATATACATATATACATATATATACATTTATACATATATATACATTTATACATATATATACATATATACATATATATATGTATATATATATATATATATATACATATATATATATATATATATATATATATATATATATATATATATATATATATATATATATATATATATATAAATTATTAGAAAATCACTTTGCTAAATTTTTTTTTATTTAACACTGTGTTTCATCAATAAAGACTCATCAGAAATGCTTTATTGATGAAACACAGTGTTAAATGAAAAAAATTTTGCCAAGTGATTTTCTAATAATTTTTAATTGCTCTGTTCTTTTAAGAACATTGAGCACTCTTTTTGTGGAATACATTTTAAATTGTTTAAATTTTATTACTATTGTTTTTTTTTTTAATTGGTTTAATTTTATAGCAATTTTTTTTGTTTTTTTTTCCTTTAAATTTTTTACTAAAAATTCAATTCTTTGTAAACATATATCAAGACTGCATCTAACTAATTGCTTTTTTTTTTTATGAAAAAAGTACTTTATATTAGATAAGGTTTAATAAGTATATAACTTTGATATAAATGACAAAAAACACACAATAATGAATTTTATCATAAAACAAAATCTAAGCTAGAAAATTCTAAATTAGACAAACGCGAAAAAACAGAATTTGATGGCACAATTTGATTTCTTCAAACTTAAATACGTTTATACCTAGTTTAAGCAAACTTATCTCCAGTACTTTTTCATGTGTTTCCTTTAACTCAAGTAGGATTTATGACAATATTTTTAAAAAAGAATGTGCCAAATTGTATTTTTATTTTGAAAATAAATTTTGATCAAACATTTTGTCAGGATCTTATAAAAATTTATTCATCCTCTGAGTGTATACAAAATATAAAAATAAGCGGTGATAAAATACGACCTTGTAAAACGCAATTTATAACTCCGAAACTAATTAATCTTGTTTCCTGTTATCAAATAGACATTAGTTAGTAACTATAACAAATTGTAAATAAAGAATTTTTTTTTATATAACTTCATCTAGTAATTTGCAGAACAATAACCAACTGAGCTAGGCTCAAATACAAATACATCAATTTTAGATTTCCAAATACAAACTCAAATACAAATATATGCAAAGGGCATTTTCCAAATACAAATACAAATATTTGTAACTTAGGTTAAAAAAAGTTATAAAGATTTTATCAAAACATGGCCTGGGCATATACATTTGTAAGAATTTACTCAATTGTCGGAAAACTAGGTTTGAATCCACAGACTATTCTTTTATGTTCACTCGTTTAGAAATAGACTGGAACTCTTTTCGTGAATTTCTTCACGATAACCCTTGGGTAGAAATCTTTCATCTTCCTGCTGACAAATGTGCTTCTCATGTAACTTCTTGGATTCAGACTGGCATAGAATCTTTTATTCCCTCTCAACAATTCCAAGTCAACCCTCGCTTTTCTTAATGGTTTTTATCTAATTGCACTGTTGCAATTTCTAGCAATAGTAAACAGTAGTCTGTTTATTATTACTAACGTCAAAGCCTGCTATTGTAAGGTCACAAAATCTCATACTTTATCTTGAAAATTGGACTCCTGAGACATCTGGAGAATCTTTAACAGTGTCTATAATAAGGGCAAAACTGCTATTCCAACTCTATTGCATGATTCAGATTTTGTTGTCTCACCTAAAGACAAAGTTGAATTGTTTGCTAAGAACTTTTCATCAATATCAACTCTTGATTCCACTAATCACATCTTACCTGATAAACCCAAGAAACAGGTTGATTCATAGCTTGAAATTTGTATCACTCCAGCTTCTATATCTAAAGTGATTTCCTGCATAAACTCTTCAACATCTTCTCCGGAGCTGTCCTTTTTACTTTCAAAACAATTTAACAAGTGCTTATCAGAGTTTTGCTTTCCACCTTGCTTGAAAACGGAATCTGTTATTCCTATTTTAAAAAATTATGGGAAGTGATTTGACTCTAATCACTTCCCATAATTTTTAACTAACTATCATACATTAGTCTTCTTACTATCATAAGCAAGTTTTTTGAGTCTCTAATTAACAAACATTTAATCTCTTATCTTGAACCTAATAACTTACTTTCTGATCATCATCTGATATGGATTTAAATCTTCCCATTCTACTGCTGATTTATTAACGGAAATAACTGATACATTTTATACATTAGATAAATATGCAGACATAAATGCTATTGCTCTCTGCATTTCTAGAGCCTTTGATAAAGTTTAGCATGCTGGTCTTCTCCATAAGCTTTTTATCTTATGATATATCAGGTAACAACTTTAAGATTATCGAATCTTTCCTTACCAATCATAGTATGAAGGTTGTCCTTAATGGACAGCACTCTTGTTCATTTCCTGTAACTTCAGTTGATCTTTAAGGTTCTATGCTTGGCCCTAATCTGGGAAATCGTTAATTTAGATTAACGATTTAGCATTTATTCTTGTTTTGATAAGAAGCCAATACTCTCTGATTGCTTGAAATGGGCATTAAAGTTTGAAAAAGATCTCGCTTCTGCTACAGCATGGGGTTTTTAGTGTCTAGTGAACTTTAACTTAGATAAAACTCAATTTTTTTCAGCTAATTGTTATCACTACAATCTAGACCTTCCTATATTTATGAATGGTAATGTACTTGATGAGCCATCTACCTTTTGTCTTCTAGGATTAACTCTTACTTCCAAACTTTTTTGGAAACCATTTATCAAATCCATTGCAAAATTAGCATCTGCTAAGGTTGCATCTCTTTATCATACATGCCACTTTCTTACTTAGGATTATATTTTTTATTTCTATAAATCTCTAATCCGTCTTTGTATAGAACAGTGTTGCCATACCTGGAGCAGATCTTCAAATGATGCCCTGTCTCTTTTAGAAAAAGTGCAAAAACGCATTGTAAGCATAGTTGGACCTGCTCTTGCAGTTAACCTTCGACCACTGTCACATTGTCATAACATTACTACTCTTTTTCCTTTCAATTAATACTATAACAGACGCTGCTCTAAAGAGCTAGCGCCTCTTGTGTTTTGTGTCAAAAATGCACATTTGATTGTGAGCCACGCTAGAATTAAACTGTGTTCTATAAAAAAAATCCTACTCATTTATTAAATCTGGACTAAAAGTTCCCTTTCCCCGTTTCATCCCCATTTTCCCCTATTTATTTAATTTCCTCCCTCTCTTAAGAGAGTAAATAAGTGTACTTTGTTTCTTTGTTCATTAATTTACACTGGTTATTTGTTATTGTAAATTTGTAAGCCCTGTACCTTGCAAAATAATAACTGACTTGCAAAATTGGTACACTAAGTTTTGTGGGTTACATAATTTTAGAAAAAGTTCCATGGCTTTCAAAATTGGAGACAAAGATTTTGTGGCTTTTTTTGATTTTGTTTAGATCTCAGAGGTTAACCCATTTGTGAGAGAAAATGGATACTCTGATACATCTTGTAATGTGGTAAAACAACTTTTTTTTCTAAATCTCACTTTTTAAATAATAACATTAAAATTTATTATGCAAAAAATTTGGGGTTAACTCATTTGAAAGGTCAACTCATTTGCGTGAGAAAATGGATTCTGGGATGCATCTTTAAGGTGATAAAATAAATATTTTACTTTTTATAATTATTTTTCTCTTTTTAAATAATCATATTTATAATTCTTTTTTTTTTTTTTTTTTTAATTTAAAATGTGAGGGGGATGGGGAAACAGGCTGGTAGCTGCCTACTAGTATATGTTGTAATGATATAATTTTTATATTGTTTCTATATGTAATCATTTTAATAAAGATTAAACTATTTATATGAATGAACATTTTTATTACTAGGATGTGTTACATTACTACCCCTACATATACCCTGAATCTAAGATACATCTTTTATACTTAACAGTTGTCTGGAAACAAATTTTAATAATTTTTGTGTATAAAAAATACTAAATTCATTACAAAAAATACTCTTATGAAAATAAATTGCATTTGTTTAGTGCAAAGATTGTTCAAAAAACTTTCCTGCTATACTAAATCTAAAGACCAAAATAATTTTCTAGCGCACTCTTACACTTATCTTTTGATACCAAGTTATTGGAATTTAGATAAGAATTGACAAAGATATAAAGAAAGTATAAGATACAAGAGATATAAAGAAAAAAAAATTTGACCACAGTTTTATCAACTGATCCATATACCAAAATTTTTTTACTAAAAAAATCTTAATTTTTTGTTGAATTATTTAATTTTTTTAACTTTTACTAGAATGTACTAGAATGTTATATATCAATATAACAAGTATATAAATATATCAAGTACTAGAATGTTGTATATCAATATAACATTCTAGTACTTGGTCAATTTACCAGTTTAATGTTATATCTATAAGCTAACTTAAAGATTTAATGATAAAATTTAAAATTAGATTACTCATTAATTTCAGCTAAATTTAAACTACAGTTTTTATATTTTTAGTTTCTTTTTCCTTAAGGAAAAAGAAACTAAAAATATTGATGTTGCATCAAATACCTTGATGTTGCATCCTTGATGTTGCATCAAACTCCAGACCTCACTTTTTTTTATCTATTTTCAAGTTGTTACCCACTTTTAGAAAATTAAAGACATTTTAAATTTAAAATTTGTATACTTACCAGTTTTGACTTTAATAAATTATCTAGTTCAATAGTGTTGTTATTCCATACACACAAATGCAATGGGAATTTCTCTTTTATTTCTATTTCATTTGTAAAAGGAAGAAACAACTCAGCCATATTTCATGATTTAATTTGTTTTTATATGTACATTTTTTAATTTGCTAAAAGGAAAAAATGTATGTAATATTTAAAAATACTACCTTTAAATATTATATACTGTGTTGTTCAAGTGTTAAATTAAAAAATAACACTTAAATAAAACAGTAAACACTTGAATGACATAAAAATACTAGTAAATACTATCTTTAATTAAATATTTAAGTAAATAATACGGTCTTTTAAAAATATTTAGCTAACTATTCTGTCTTCAAAATAAATACCGGCCGATACTCATAAAAGATTTGTTTTTGTTTTTGTTTTGCTCTTGCGAGTTGTTTTTTTTGTGAATAGCATCACGTCGAGAATCACATCGTCAATAAATAATAGCACATCATGTCGGGATAACGGAAAAACCCACATACTGAAACTTTTTAGTAGTAACTGTCATAGAAGTTTTCTCAGTCATGTGTTTCTTAAATGATCAGTCTTTCTGCATTTCTTTATTTCTTGCTTTCTAACACACTGATTTCTAACTTTCACTTTGATACCTTTTATTTCTCGAAAATCTCTTTCTTTGGCTCATATAATCGTTATGGTGCTCCACAAAAGGAGAGTCCAGGCGTGTTGACCAGCTTGGGTACGAGGTAACTCCGCAAGGCATACGCCTTAAGAGGGTAAATCACAATATTTTTCTAAGACAGCCAAGTGATGCGTTGAAAAAAACAAAGAACTGTTTTCAATTATACCAAAAAAATTGAACAAACTCTAGGTTATGAGTTTGTTAGCCTAGGCAAAAAAAAACAACCTTATATATGTTTCCAGTGACAGAGAACTTCTATAGGACGTCGCAGATAAATTGATATTCCAAAAAATGTTAAAACTGGCTTTTTGATTATTTTCAACAATTGGTCTTTTTTTTTTTTTTTGCATTAGTTCCTATCGTTATTGCTGTTCAAAGCTTAAATTGAAAGTTTAAGATACTTTATAATTATAAACAAATATTTTTGACACTGCGTTTTAATTTTAGACCAAAACTTTCATGGTGTGACAGTCTAAACAAAACGTTTAAATTGAAAACTTTCCAACAAAAAAACGAATGATAGGTGATTACTCACGTTTATCACACGTATAAATGCATTTTATTTCTATCATTCAAGAGTTTAACTGGAACCTTGATTAAACTTTTTTTCGATAATAAATCAAGTAGTATGCTTTACTTTAGTCTCGTACATAGTTAGCTTTTGTACGTAATAGTTGTATGGATCACCACCCATATAACAAAATGGTTAAAATTTTTATTTATTAGTATAAAAACAATGTACTACCATATCATTTTTGAGATATTTTCTTGATATCATTTTTGAAAAATATAATTTGCGTTCAAGTGTCAGGTACAACTACCATTTAGGGAAAATTAAACAATAACAGTGAAATTTTCTTATTACGAACCGTGGTCCATCAATATAGAATCATTTCCAAAATAAAAATATTTAAGAACTAAAAAGCATTTCATCGTTTAAACAGCAAACTAAATTGCATCATCTTAATTCCTGAAATCTATTTTATAGTTTACAGTATTTTAAAAATGATACATTATAGTTGTTTTTAATTTTTTTTTTATTGTAATTTGTTTTTTAATTTACAAACGGCATTTAGCAATTTTTTTGTTTGTTTTTGATTATTGAAAAAATTAATTTTTTTTTAATGAATGGCCACAGGAGCTCTTAGAAAAGGTTCTGACGATAAACACATCTTCCTTACCCTTTTTGAGTCCTTGACTGATTATAGCAGTATTAATTATTAATAAAAGTTCAAAAAGTTTATATCAAGGTGTTTATAAAATGATTTATGTTTTACATTAGGGGATGTACATTAATTACGTCAATATATTAGGGAAGGGGGTCTGATTTTGACAATTGTTGACGAGGGGGAGTAATTAAGTCAAGACAAGTTGAAATCAGCAATGTTACAATTTTAAATAACTTATATTGCTTAAAAAAAGAAAAATTACGCAGCATTTGCAGTCTTGGAATATAAAATATTATAAAATAACTATTTACATTCTTACTTTTTAATAATCATGTTGTGCTTTAAAAAAACCCGACACATATAGAACAAAATAAGCACACACGAGAAAAAAGCAAACAAAAAAGATTTATTTAAGTACATGGTCTTCATCATATTATTTAAACATGGGTCGGCAACCTGCGGCTTGCAAACTTCGTGTGGTTCTTTCGATGTCAAGATGTGCCTCTTTAGCTCCATCTACAAATATTAACATAATAATGAAATAATGATGTTAGTAATTATTTAAAAACTGAAAAACTTTATAAGTTACAACTCTTGGCTTTTCTGTCTTAAAAGGTTGCTGACTCTTGGTTTATACGAATTGTTGAATTAATTTTTTGTTATACTAGACTCTATTAGAAATAATCGGCTATTACTATGAAATTGGATTAGGTCTAAAGTTAAAGTGAGGAGGATGGGCACTGAGTTAGCCTTTGTAGTTATAAACTGGAAGTATGTACATGTTGGAAATATGTTAATGTTGCAAATATGCTTAAATGTTAAAAGTTTAATACTTTTGTTTTCTATAAACTTTACTTTTATTCACTTTTTGTTCCGAGCATTTGTAATTTTTGATGGTTCGATCAAACATTTGTAATTTTTTATGGTCCGATCAAACATTTGTAATTTTTGATGGTCCGATCAAACATTTGTAATTTTTAATGGTTTATTCATTTGAAATATGCTCATAAGTTTAAGTTTACATAAAATTATCTTTTCTAAATGTTTTACTTTAAATGATTTTTTTGTTTTAGCTGTGAACTAGTATATTTAAAATATATATATATATTTTTCCTATTTAAATTTGATTTTTAGGAGGGAGGGGGAGGAGTAGCCTAATGTTAACGGAATTTGATCGGAGGATCTCTGGAAGTTAGAGATGTTGATAACAATGGGGACGGATAAGTAAAAACTGCCAAAAAATTATTAATGTAGTTAATGGACAGCCTCTTATTGTATGAAAATTGTTATTAATTAAAAAAACAAAAAGTTATATTTAAAAAATGTCTTTTTAGTTCTAAGAATGCTAGAAACAATTCTATTGGTTAACCATCTTTAATGTACTGTACAGCAACAGATAACTGATCCACATGTGATAGGTCTGGTGTTGAACAGCAAAAAGGTTGCAGTAGTCAGAAGAATTGACTTCCTTGACGAGGCTCCAATGACCTTTTTCAACCATTAGCTCAATAAGTTCCTTACAAGTTGCCTATGAAATTTAATTTTAATTTTTATAGCACAATTTTTATGCAGCTAGAACAAAAATTTAAATAGAAAATCAGAAAATTAAAAAAAAAACACTCTCTTTTCTGATAAAACCGCACACTCGATTAATTACTTAATTTAGTTTTTTGCAAGTGACAAAGAGTCTCTTTTTATTAAATTAACTTAGTGTTAATTGCGGTTCCATTAAAAATGAATTATAATGTTATTTGTCAAATATACAATCATCACTTACTCATTATTAAAAATCAACTATTATGTTATTTCTCACTGTATTTATCACTTAATAAATTCTACTCAACTCACTCACTTCAAAATATCAGCTAAAGAAACGAAAGCACACCAGGAAGATGATATACTAGCCGCATTAACTGATATGGAAGAAAACGATACGAAAATCTGCATTCAAATATGACGCAAGCAATATGAAAAACAGTTTTTTTGGGTGATGAAGGAAAAGCAACTGCAGTGTGTCGAAAAGGGACAAGACGTGTGTTTAAACTTACTGGGAACAATAAAAAAATTCATTATAGTGTGAACAATTGCTCAAATGCGTTTTTGTAATACTTAATAAGAATTTCTTTCCACGCTTGTTTTAAATGGCAATAGATGCCTCTTTCTAATTGTTGTACAATATGTGACAAATGCTCTAATGACAAACCATGATTATATTTGGCGCTAACTGGACCATTGCAAGACAAAAGTTAGCTTTATATATCACAAATGGTGTTGCAAAATGCCCATCAAAATGAAAAAATTTAGATAAACCATTTTGCTCAGTCATAGCGTCATAATCTTCAACAGCCACCGCAGCTTCTAATCCAACTACGTGATTCTTTTAATATATATATATTGAGCAGCCGTGGCGCAGTGGTAGCGCACTTGCTTCGGAAACGTAAGATCCGTGGTTCAAACCCCACCTCTGGGCAAGTTTTGCGACATCGGTTGGGAAGGAGGCGTGAACTTCCTATTAAATGCTCTTCCGCGGTGCTCTGTGATAAGACCGTAAGGACTTCTTGGGGCACCTTAATCAACTTAAAAAAAAAAACTACACATCAATTACCATCTTTGTAAACTGCTCCAGCTTCGAGTTTTGATAGGTATAAAACATGTTTTAAGTGTTGCAAAAACAGTATCGAAATGGAGTTGAAGCATTTCATTCAAGCCAGAAATCAACTGCATGTTAAGAAATCGAAGCAATGCAATCTATAAAAACTAGAAAATGAAAACTATTGAACAAAATGTAATTGAGTTCCTCAAACAAGACGATAAAGAAAAAGCTACAAAAAAAGACTGTGAAAGTTGCTAAACTTAGTCTCTTCATGCGAAAAAAAATTTAGCAAAAAAGTTGCAAAAAGCCAAATGATTGAAAGTTGCAAAATGTAAAAGGTATCTAGTACAATTACACACAAAAATATTACAACCTGAGAATTTGATGTGTAAAGAATGGTTGTGAAAAGAAACATGTTTAAATGCATAGTTGGTACTAAATTCTTTTGTTGCGAAAAATATTAAAATTTAATATAGTTACTTGAATATAAGTTGTGTTGAAAATAGTAATAATTAAAAAAGTTAAGTTTAAAAAAATTCAATATTTTCTCAAGTGTACGGTTTTATAAGAATGTCCCCTAACACCGCACAAAAATTTTTCTTTACATTTAATATTTTCAATAATTTGATTTTTTTTTTTTAATATATATATTTATATAATCTTATGTAGTTTTTTATTAACTATCTAATTAAAAATTAAAAATAAAAATAAAAATAAATAAGTTCACTTTTATTAATTAGTGTGCAGTTCAACCCGGTTTTAGTCTATGGATTTTAAGTTTATTACTCGGCTAAATCGACTTTTAGGCAATTAGTAAGAAATCCATAGCCAATTAAACTGATTATTCTATATTTCAAAGTCGACTAATTTCGACTTTTGACTAGTCGACTTTTGTCGATTTAGTCGATGCCGATAACAACACTAAATTATTGGTTTTTTACCAATAATTATTAAACAGGGGGTCACATTGGTACAAATTATATTTGTACCAATGTGACCGTCTATTTTTTAGCCATAATACCCCAAAAAGTTTTTCTTGGCACAAAAAGTTCAAAATAATTTTCGTTTTGCCACATTGTGAGTGTATGAGAGAGATAGCAGTAAGGTAGTAGTCCAATATAACACATGGTACCCAGGTATTAACTACAAAGATAAATTTTATTATTTTGTTTATTCTGAATTATTGCTTTTACATAATGACTGTGAAATTCAAATATAGTTATAAACAGTTTTATTCAAAAAAAGTTATGCAGTTTAACAACTTGCTTCATGAGAATAGTGTCAGCATTTAGTGTGTTAAATACGTAATGAAAAAAACTGTTTCAAATAGGCAGCTGCAGAGAAAATTATGAATAATAAGGAAGATAAATCTAATGTCAAATTGATCCATGGGATATTTCATTATATCCCTATGTGACTTTAATAAAGTTGGTAGTCTCTCTTTTCAAACCTCTATTCCTACGTTGAACATCCTTGACGTCTGAAAACTGGGATTTTTGGGAAAAGGCAAATTGGGATATATAGGGATATGCGCTTCGAAGTGTAATACATCGACTGATTTATTTAGCCATAGGCACAATGAGTGTGCATACATCGACTGAGGGTTTTGGTTTTCTTGAACTAAATAGCAGGTTGTCTTCAACTAAACGAATCATCTTTTTCATGTTTGCGGACTTAAAGAAGACCGTCGCAATAGAGTTTGATAAGAGAGCTTACCGATAAAGTTAACGTTATCTTGAATGGAAAAAAAAAAAGATTTACAGAAAATATGTAAACAGAGTTGTTCAACTTTATTTAACATGTATAAATGATTTTATAGTGTAAAAATATGAAATGTATGAAAAAAAGTAGGACGGTTTTTTTTTTAATGAATTTGCCAGTTTTCAAACTTTTTGGCTACATTATCAAAAATCGGAAGAAAATTGGTCAACTTTCCTTATTTTGCTTTAGGTCATACTTTTCGAAACAATAACTAACTTAATATTATATAAAATACAGCCAAAAATAAGAACAACTTTTTCAAAAACGAATTTTACACCGCAGACTTCTCAAGATGCTAATGTAGCCACGTGAAATTTTATTTTTTTCATAGGAAAATTATACATACAGACTGTGATCATCTTAAAAATCCACGTGTTGATTTCTATGGTTTCGGTCACTCAAAGTTCGAATCTTTTTTTTTTTTTTTTACAATTTTCGTACTTTTAGACTACTATTTTCCAACAACGGACAATTCAACAACAGAAAAAAACGGAAATTAATTTATCAATTTTCATTTTTTTGGTTAAACCTAGCTATCATAACAATATTGCAAAACGTATTTAAGTTAGTTATTGTTTCGAAAAGTATGACCTAAAGCAAAATAAGGAAAGTTGACCAATTTTCTTCCGATTTTTGATAAACTACTATGTCCAAACGACACAATTGTTAAAGAAAATAGATTGACTTTGTTATTGTTTCTATTATACAAATAAATATGAAAAAGCGAGTTAAGAATTAGTTACATCTAATATTTTTTTCTTGTTTTTTTTTTTACTGACAACGACTGTTGAGGAATTAAGTTCATAAAAATTATAAATAATTTAACTCAAAGCCAACTTGGTTTTACGGACATTTGTAAACAGTGTACTGAACGGGACTTCACCGAGTTGGAAGGGCGATACACACAAATTGTCCTAAAGTTACCAATTTAGATAAAACAAGTACTGTTCCCAGTATTTGACCAAGAATTTAATTGTTTAATAAAAGCTATATAAAAAATGCCGGTAAGTTTTGGCAGGCTTCTATTATTACTTTGAAGATGATTTTTTATCTGGCAAAAGCATGATAAAAATGTAAATTCATAATAAAACATAATTTTAATTTATAAAAGTCGTATTAATAAGGTTTTATTGTTATAATAGGGAGTATTAAGAAAATAATATTCATATTTAATGAAATATATAATAGTTCAATTTTGTAATGCCAGAATTGTTATAGGTTATTTTTTTTTATATAACTTTACTCCTAAACTTTACTCCTAAACTTCAAGACTAGCTATAGCTTCAAAATTTTATTATAGCTTAAATAAAATTATGTGCATATACATGTATAAACACACGCACACCCATACACACGCACACACACACACACACACACACACACACACACACACACACACACACACACACATTGCCAAGAGTAAATTAGTTTAAGAGCTGTTAAATTCATGTATTAAACTGATTTAATGGAATTGAGTGACCTAATTAACTCAAAAAATTTTATGTTTTGTTAAAATGAAGTTTTTCAAAGTTAGATTATTGTAAAGAAAACGATTAATGATTTGAAACAAAACTTGAATTTAAAATAAATCAATTCAGTTTTTTAAGTTTGTAAACAGTGTACCAAATGGAACTTCACTAAGTTGCCAGTATTTGAATAATTATTTAATTGTTTAATAAAAGCTATATAAAAATTGCCGGTAAGTTTTGACAAGCTTTTATTATTACTTTGAAGATAAATATTCAAAAAAGGCTTATCCATGGTACCATTAAAATTTTTTGATGACATTTAAATTTATTTGCTGTTGCTAAAATTATGTTTAATAGAAAATAATGACCTTTCTGTAAGACTTGCCTCTTCTAGTAATAAAATAAGTAAGTTAATTAAGTACAAGTTTTGTAGTTTAACTATTTTGAATTTTTATTTTAGGCTTATCATTCAAGTTTGGAATCTTCTGTAACACTATGCAAGATGGCACTTCTACCTTTAAATACAAAATTCAAAGGCCCTGCTCCTCCTGGTAAGGTTCAATCAACTTGGTTTAAATTTTTGTTTACTAAACAAAAATATTTTAAAAAAAAGCTGGTTTAAAAAAAAAAAACTAGGCTAAATACCAAAGAGTTATTATTGTGCAGGCATTTTTTTTTTTTTTTTTAATCAAATGTATCAAATAAAACGTTGTGTTAATTTAAACAAATCACATTGATGACTAAAGAAACAATGATAATGAAATAATAATAAAATGATAATGAAACTTTATTAGTAGAAGTAAGTAGGTAGTAGTTGCACTTAAACTACTGCTGCTATCAAAGATAACAAATTTTAAAAATAAAGATTTTTTTAGATAAGTCTAGGTAAGATTTTTTAGCGCATTTTCAAATTTTACAAACATCTTAAAAGTCAAAACAAAACATTATTTGCGTGGTCATATAATGCATGCCTTTCTGTGAAACACTGGTATTCTATATTTTTTGAAGTTTATATATATATATATATATAAATATAAATATATATATATATATATATATATATATATATATATATATATATATATATATATATATATATATATATATATATATTGATTTGTAAGTTATGGCATTATTTGGTCTATTGTTCATAAAAATTTGGTTTTTGTTGTTAATTTGTCACGCTTGTTAGAAGAAAAAAATTATTAACAAAAAATTTTTTTTTTTGTAATAGATAATAATTTGTATTTGATGCAATTATTGTAAATAACATTAAGTAACATTGTTATTATATATTATTTCTTGACTAATAAAATTGCAATTACATTTTATTTTATTGGGTTTATTACAATATTATTATTATAAATTTATATTGTTTATTGTATTATTATCTATAGTTGTATTAAAAAAATTGTAATGAGCGTAGCTGTGTAACTACTGTTACACGGCTACACAACCTGCAATAAAATGCAATACAGCAAATCTAGACATCTGGCTGAATAGTTTAATGAAAAAATTCAACTTTATTTAAATTTGTAATAAATGTGTCTATGCTAGAGACAGAACTAACCACTGCAACAGATGAAGTTGTACAACTAAAAAATATCCCTAACCAATGATTGGTCAAAGCTTTTTGATAATAAAAACACAGTTAACAAAGCATTTTTGCTTTCAAAAATAGCAAAATCAAGAAAACAACAAAAAAAATTGTGTATTGAAACCAATATAATGATAAACGGTATCCTAGAAAATGATTAAGATAGTGATATGCATGGCGCAGCTGAAGTTCTTGAGAGATTTCTTGATGATAACTGCAAACTGAAAGAAATCTGCGCAACTCTAACCTTCCAATTGTCATACCTGGCATAAACTGGAGGCCAACTAACAAGAAATACGGTGTTAACAATGGGAGGAAATTCTATTGAGGTATATGTTGGAATGAACTCAGAAAAATTAAAATTATATATCAGATAACCTTTACTTTCTAACCATTATAATTTAAACAAAATACATGTTATAACTGCAATCCCACTTCTTTAAAAAATAAAATGAATGAGCAAAAAATACTTGTTGCAACATTAAACTATCATATTATAGCAATTACAGAGTCATGGTCTAACATCAGATCAGTCAACTTTATTGAGAATTACTTTTTGTGCAACAAAAACAGAGATAAAGTTCGTGGTGTATACATTAGAAATGGCTTAAACTCATTAGAAATTATTGGTGATAAGTTATCTGAAACAAAAAATAAAAAAATCTGGGCTCAAATTATAATAAGCAATCACGAAACAGTAATTGTAAGATGTATCTTCAATTGAAATAAATCAATCAATACAAAGAGCTTGTAATCTAGTCAACAAAAATAAATGTAAATTGGTAATTATGAGCAATTTTAACTATCCTGACATTTCTTGGGATAATAAAGGCAGCAGACTTCAAGGGGTGGAAAGAACCCTGCATTATTGCGTTCAAATATCTAATTGACTCTAATTATTTAACACAAAACGTAATTGAACAAATATTTTCAAAAAATTTCTTAGATCTTATTTTTACAAGTTGTCCTAAATCTAACTACAATACAATAATTGGACCAACACTTGGCTTTACAAATTGTAATCATTTACATTCTTCAGTAAGTTTTTGGCTTCATAACTGAAACAAAATCTGAAATCACAGTATATTGAAATGAATTAAAACATATGAAAAAAAATTACTTTACAAGTAAATTTGAAATAAAAAGCATTTGTGGTTTTAGAGAAATCTCAATTTAATGCTGACCAAATTTTTCTGTATCCACCTGATAGCTATAATTAATGCAATTTTAATGGTGATTATATTATAATTTAGAGGGTTAATTCTGTATTTTAGGTATGTTTATTTTATACTTTAGAAGATTAGTTCTGTATTTTAATAGTGTTTAATTTACATTTTGAAGTGTTGGTTCTTTATATTAAGGTTTTTTTTTTATATTTTCGAGGGTTAGTTCTGTATTTTAAGGATGTTTATTTTATATTTTAAGAATGTTTATTTTATATAAATTATTTTATTTGTTTTAAATTAGCAGCCAATGGGAGTGCTGATATTATTGAAGAAACTCTTCAATTTTTCAAAGCAAATGTTTTCTTCAAAAATTATGAAATTAAGGTATGAATTAGATTTCATTTTTTAATAAATTCAATTATTTAATATACTACATTTATATTTATACTATATTTATACTATATATTCAAATATTTAATATGCTATATTTATAATACAAATACTTATATTATATATAGTTATAACTTTTATGCTATTTAAATTTTATATCATTATTAAATACTGTTTGACGATATAAAGTAAATAAGAGCTTTAACCATTCGTTAAAATTTAAAAGAACAAATTAAAGTTTTGTGCACATGCATTTTAGCGCTTTTTTTTCACAAACAGGTTTTAATTAGAGATTGAAAAAACACTAAATTCTAATATTTAATTTACATATAGCGTATACTATATAATATATAGTATTTAATAAAACAAGGAGATGTTGGAAATATCCTATCGGAGTGGATATGCTGAAAGAAATCAAATTCACTAATTGACTTTTTATTGTGCCATAGTTTAAGTTTGGCTGATGCAAAAAGAGGTTCTGTGCAATGTAAAACATTAAGACAAAACAAAGAACGTATGTCGGTAATAAGTTAGTAACAATACAAATGTTTATGTAGATTGATGGTAAAAAAATGGAATCATATGATCCAACAAAAGCCATTGAAAACTGGCTATTAAAAACGTTGCAGACAAATAAATCGGGCTTTCCTAAAGTTAGTAGATGTTGTTTCAGTTAAAAAGCCAAAATGAATCAAATTTTTTTTGAAAAGTGATGATAGCGTACATAGCGATGATAGCGAAGATAGCAATGATAGCGTAGATGATAGTAATAGAACTATAATGGTAATGATAATAACCATTATTTCTATTACTTTTGTTCAATTACTATCATCCATTGAATTTCGTTTTTTTTCTTTATAAAAATGAAAAAGAAGTATTCCCATAAACTTCTTTTTCATTTTTATAAAGAAAAAAAATGTGTTAAAAAAATTGTTTGAAATAAAAGTGCTTAAAGCATGTGAGAAAACTAAAGTCATTCATGCCGACATTCTTTTTCTAAACTTAAAAGTGTAAATTTTATCAATAGTTTTCAAAAATTAGTTTGGTCTGCAAAAAAAAAATTTCTAGTTAACCCATAGCACTTTATGCAAAAATGACTGTACACGAATTATGCCGAATGCAAAATTTGTATTAAAAAATGTTGATTGGCAAGCAACTAACACTGGCTAAATTTTTACTCTCAACAACCAACCAAAACCAGACTGTCCATCACTGATATATATATATATATATATATATATATATATATATATATATATATATATATATATATATATATATATATATATATATATATATATATATATATATATATATATGCATATATATATATATATATATGCATATATATATATATGCATATATATATATATGTATATATATATATATATATATATATATATATATATATATATATATATATATATATATATATATATATATATATCATAAAACATAGAAACGATGTCAGCAATTTTTTTCTAACCTTAAACATTTTTAGGTCAGCCTGTGAGAAGCTTTTTTTATTTCTAATGAAATAAGCTTCTTACAGGTGATGTTTACCACTTTCAACCAATAATTTATCTAATATTTCTTGATTAATTAATTGTTATCTTTGATAGTAGCAGTAGTTTAAGTGCAACTATTATTATTTCATTGTCGTTGTTTCTTTAGTCAGCAATGTGATTTGATTAAATTAACACAACGTTTTATTTGATACATTTGATTATTATAATATTTAAGATTTTGCTGCATAACAGAAAAGCCTAATAAATTACATGCAGTGGTCAGATTTTAGAAAAGTTGCTTTTTAATTTTTGAAGACCTGATAGATTGGATAATATCTCGCTACTTCAATCAATGAAAGCGTTATTGTAGTCTAAGTTTATTATACTTAAATAAACTTAAGTATACTTGTAGGTTGTTTATTAGTTCTATATTGATATATAGAATTTAGTATTTATTTTATAGCAAACAATTACTATAAAATGTTTCTGAGCCCAAACTTTAGACATTATTTTTGATAAATTTTACTTTATAATATCTGTTGAACATTATAATCACATTTTGACAAAATCTTTACAAAGGACATACAAAACACAAATTAAAAAAAAACTTTTTTTCCACAAGAAATTTTTTTTTTAATACAAAAACATGTTAAATATGCAAAAAAAAACATTCTTGGCCTTGCAATTATCCAATTAAACTTAAAGGCTGGAGGTGGACTAAATAATTAATAAAATTTGAAAACAATTTTTTTATCTACAAATTTCTGTACTGTTAAACATGCATTCTTTATTATAAGCTTATCAATTGATGTTAAAATATGTATACAATGCACATATCGGTAGGACTATGTGACAATATTGGCATTTAGCAATATTTGGCAATTTGGGGAAAAAAATATTTTACTATATTCTTTAAATGATCAACAAATAATTTTTTATTCACTTTATTTTTGCTCTCACAAATTAAATTATTTAATTGTCTGATTTAATTAGCTAAAAGTAAGTGTTCGACGCTTTTTTTTGCATAGTTTGATATAAATAATAATTTTTCACTCGTTATTGCATTAACTCTTTCTTCGGAAATTTTATAAAATATGATTGTGTTTATATTGGTGATGCAAAACTCAAGCATATCATCAACTGTCAATATTTGGTTTTCCAATGCCCTTTGCAAACTTGCTCTTGCTGTTATTCTTTTAACGATACCACCTATGCCTTGACAAGTGGATTATCCATGGCTGGTTGCAAAAAATACCCATTTAGTTGTAATCTCGAAATATTCCTTATGGTGGCATAACTTTATAAAGTTTTTATAGTTTTTATAATGAGCAGAACATCCATCAGAAAAATAATAAATTTTATTGATACCAACTAAATATTCCTTAATGTACTCTACAATTTTCTTTTGAAATTCATACACAAAGCATGTATCATGATCATTGTCATCACTTAAAAAACAGAATGACTTATGCTGAATATTTGCTTTAGAAAATTCCTTAAAATATATAACAACAGAATGAAGTGTACATTGTTGTTTATTCCAATGATAACTTTGTATTTCATCCTGTATAACAAATTGATAGTTCTCTGCAAAATCTGCCTGTATAATACATTCATTGTAGCCTAAATTTTTTTTTAGCTTTTTCAAATAGCGAGTTTGGCATTTAGCAATATATGAATGTGAAGTTAGATGATTAATGTGAGAAACAACTAGTTCTTTATATTCAAATAAGTTAACTGATTGAGTAATTAATTGTGATCTATCAGTACTTTCTCATCGGTTGAATTGAATTTCTTCTTCTTCATCAATCTCAATTAATTCCTCATCTAAAAATGCCTTTAAGTTATCATAACCTGGATATTTAGCACATCTATGAACCATGCATTCATTATTGCTTGTATCACATACTAATTTTGAAATTAAATCTTTGTATGTAACATTCCATTGGACAGCATTTACAAGTAATATTGAGTTTTGACAGTAAATACAAACACATACACAGTGTGTACCATTTGGTCCCACACTAATACACCATTTTGGACGCAAACTACAAAACTTTGAAAATCCTATTTTATAAATAGGGTATTTACTTTTAAAATCAATATAAAGCTCATGAAGGTTGCACAATAATAATCTTTTTTATTGTAGAGGACCACTTTTAATTTTAACACAATCTTTTTTACCAGGCATAATTCTAGAATGTTCATCTTGTTGAAAAAAATCTTGAACCAAAGCTGTAAGAAAGTCAGGTATTTTTTGGCCTATTTTCTTATCAGGTATAGCAAGAATTCCATTTTCACTGTTGTATAAGATGTTCAGAAACTTCAAAATATTCTGAAGCGTATTTTCTAGACCAAGATTTAGGTGTAAGTGTTAATATTTGAATTTTTTTTTTAAATGGTTCAACTTTAAGTTTTTCTTTCATTAAAGTTGTCAATTGATCAAGATCATTTGCTTTTTTTTTTATCTGTAGGATGACTGGAAAAAGTCGAGGCTACATATAAGTTATCTATATTTACTCCATAAGCACTTGCTACACCTTCTTCCATTTTTGTGTAGGCTTTGACTAATTTTCTTTTTGCTGTTACAACTCGTTGATGCTTTGCGACACCATGAACTTTAATTGGTGAGACTCCAATTGATATTAAAGAGTTGTCTAACTGTTGTTTATTACAAGATTTATCTTTAACAAATAATACATCACCATCAATTTCACAATCCATTTCATTATCAGAAAATTCATCACGATTTAACAAAAACTGAATACATCAGCGACAAAATTTCCATCCTGGTTTACAGTCTAGATTTTTGGATTTAAAGTTATGAGCCATTTCAAGAGATATGGTTGTTTGACCTAAAATAAAATCATTAATTTTTAATAAACATACTCTGCTTCTGAATTTATATATATATATATATATATATATATATATATATATATATATATATATATATATATATATATATATATATATATATATATATATATATATATATTATATTAGTTTATATAATATATATATATATATAAGAGTTCCGAGTTCGATCCCCACCACGTCCCTGGTAGTACCGCGCTTAACTTGTTTCTCCGTACAGCGGCCTTATTTGTCAAGGTTCGTGTTTCGGAGTTATAGAGTCGAGAGAGGGTTATAACCACAAATAAATAGCCTCCTCGTCTGTAGTGGTCTTTTCGGCCTTGAGGAGGTGAATTATCAAAATGTATATATATATTACAGGCTTGGTCGGGAAGCGGGAGCGATCGCTCTCGAATACTGACCACGGAAATAATATTTAGTTGCGTAAAACTGCCCAGGTTTTTTAGTCGTTTTGAGAACATTTAAGTTTATGTACGAAACAAAAAATTTTGTTTTACGGACATACATGGAAACATAAAAAACTTGAATGTTCTCAAAACATCTTTGTGCGAAAGAATAAAAAGAACTAATTCTATTGGTTCAAAAAATACGCTGATTAAGTGAAATAAA